TGTATTAAATGGATTAGGTTTTGATATGACTACGTGTATTGAAGTTGTGCAAATCATTTTTGACTTTATTTAAAAATATTTGAGGCGTTAGTTGAAGGGAGATGAACGACCAGTGATTTGTCAATTAAAATTCTAGTTTAATATCGTTGCTTCGTTCATCTACTTAGGATCATTTTCAAAGTAGTTAACCCTTCCATCTCCTTCATTTAATATTTAGTTTTGAGGCACGAACGAATTGAATTCAATGGTCGAGGGACTTTATTTTTCTTAAAGGTCACAGATCCGAGTATCGACAAGGGTACGAATGTTTATAGTCAATTGGTTGAGAGTTTTTGAACACATATTGTATTGTATTTACTCCAAATGTATAAAAATATAGTTTTGAGCACAAACCAAACAACCTCGTCGGTAAAAGAGTTGTTGTTATTCCTTAAGGTATTGAGTTCATATGCCATAAATTCACGGGTGTGAGCGTAAAAGAAATTAGTGTTAAGTTGTCGCCAACATATCTAAGAGACAATGATTATAAGATAATATATGTTTAGAGTATTTTTAATCATTGATAACGCAAACACAATCACATACCATACATACTCAATTTCATATTAGCATACATTATTTTTTAAGTTTATCATGCAAGAATCATTAACATAATTGTTCAATATTATTTTATTATTAATTTACTATTAGCATTTAGCCACAAGAAACCCAACATATACACACAAGTCAAACAATTCTTCTTATTAAACAACAATGGAAAAATAAAAATGATTACAATCAGTGATGGATGACGCAACACTTAAAAGCAAACATAATCAACCGAAGACGAAACTAATCAAAGCATAGATCAACATAAGGAAACCAAAATGCAATGTCCAATTTCCTTGAACTTCGCAAAGTAAGTTTCGGGTTGTTCCTGGTAATGAACCTCGAACTCATCTTCTTCCCCAAATCCATCGGTGAACTCCCCATTGTTGATCCTCATCTTCATTTCCCCAATCCAAGTGTCAGCTTGTGGTACTGTTGGCGGTGATGGACCAAGAGAAAGCGGTCGGGAATAATTGTTCCCGGAAAATTTCAAAATTTATATTTTAAATATTTTCTTTGTATTTTATATCAACAATTCATTTTAATCTCTAAAATTTTATAAATTTATTCATTAATATAAAATCGTGCATTAGGGAAGGTTTGAGCCACCAAAACATAGAAGATAAGATGCGAAAGCAAAAACAAAGTAATGGGAGCCCAACAATGGCGACGTTAGAGACAAGTTGACTCAGCTTGAGCCATGAAGACAAGTGATGAGAATATGAAAATGAATAGGAAAAGTTCGTGGAGCTCGTTCCTCTTGGACACAAATCCGTTAATATTTTTTATTAATTTGATATGAGTACAAGATGATATGTATATAGAGATTTAACTATTTAAGATTAAACACAATACCCTTAACATATTTTATACTCAAATCCTAGACTTCAAGGAATTTTAACCAAATTACTTTTCTTAATTAGTTTAAGTTATGAGTATATTGAAAATATACAATTTTCATTTCTGTTTTGTTTCTTAATATACGTTTTTAACATTTTTAGTAAAATATAATTTTAAATAAGTATTTTAACGTTAAAAATACATATTAGGAAACAAATTTAAACTGAATGATTTAGATAGATAATTTACATACTACCATCAACAATTTTATCATACTATTAATAACATATTCGATTTTAATTAGTATTTACATTTTTTTATATAACCTGTTAAAGTTTTTATTAAAAATAAAAAAATATTTAAAACTATAATGAAAGTTTACAATCATAAAAGTAAACTAAAATATAATCAGAACATTGTTCTACAACCATTAACATAAAACTAGTCACTTAAGATCACATAAATACCATACAAAGAAAAAGTTAAAAAAACTAACAAAAAATTCGAATAAAACATAGATACGAACAGATCGGATATCATCGGCAAACAAACAACAAAAGAGAATAAAGTTAATGTCAAAATCACCGAAAAGTCGCATATTAGAGTCAAGCGACGTGAAAAAACTATCCATGAACGCAAATCACATATCTAAATCCAATCCGATGATAAACATGCCATACAGACAAAATTATTCAAAACTAAAAAAAAGAAGAAAAAAACATAGATGTGATATAAAAATTAAAGAAAAACCAAGAAATATCGATAACGACAACTAATACAAAGATTGACGTCGTTGTCTACCAACTAATAATGAAAAAGAAAGAGATAAAATATTTAAAGTTTTTTAAAGAGATAAAACGGCCAGAGTTATTAAAATTTACATATTACTACTCCAAATGTTTATTCATTACATTTATATACTTTTAAATTTGAACTTAAATATGTTTTAAAATCTTAATACATATTTTAACCATACGTGTAATTAATCTGTACATTGCGTCATATATAAATTAGTATACATATTACTAAATGTATTGTTTTCTTTAAATACTTAGTAGAAATAATATTCTTTTTTATTAATTTAAGGTAAGTACAAGATAATATCTGTTAAGCGACAATTCTTGTCCTTTTCACATTAAATACCCGTACTCTCGATATTCCTGGTGCTCGAACCCTGGAGATCAAGGGATAAAAAAAATTGCTATGACACTAATGATTAAATATATAAATAATTAGTGTATATAAGAAGAAATCTATTTTCCTTGAAATGGATTTTAAGGATGGTTAATTGTAATTTGAATAGATATTCTAAAAATACATTTAATTATATTTATCTTCGTATCATTGCAGTTTTAGGCAAAGGAAGGTGTAAACATTAAAGATCCACCATAAAGTTTTAAATAAGAGTATACCACATTTAATACCGTGAAAATATTTTATGATGGCGAAAATTTATGTTCTACCCAACTTTATAAAATAATTGATAAAATTAATAATTCCAAAACATGTCTTCTCATTATACTTCGTAAATTCATATTAAATTTTTATACATGGTATATATAATGATTTAATTTCTAAATACATAAATTTAAGATTTAAATATCGAATTTCGTGAAAAAGTTGTGCAAAGAAAAACAAAATATTAAAAACAAAAATAAAAAATGATTTCATGAAAATTGTAAATATATAAAAATTTAAGTAAAACATGCTATTAAGGTATAGAAAATTATACAAGTCTATACTAATTTACACTCTTTAGGCTTTATTGGGGCTGAGTTGTTTTCTCTACTGGTTGAAAGCGTTGTCATGCATTTATTCCTTTCTAATTAAAAGAACATTTAAATTATCTTCCTAATACCAGCCGAAAGAGTATAGATTCATTTGTTCAGTCAACAAGAGTCTTTCCATTGTCACTCATAGAACATAGTGATGCCTCAAACCCGTAATGGTTGAGATGCCTTCACATATTTCTGGTTGAAAGGCACGAAGATACATCAGTTTCACCTTAACTAGAGAGATTATATCGCGATATCTCCACCGAACCAAGAGAATTGAGATGCCTCAACTCCAATAATAGGAATCCCTCTATTGCTATTATAAGTTTCGAGATTCCTTTGTCCTAGCAAGAGGAAATCAAAATACCCCTCATTGCTTTTACTAAAGCAACGATGCCTTCGCCTGTCAATCATACTCCTCTAAGAATGTCGAGTTATCTCTTCTATATCTGTAGGAATGAGGATGCCTCCGTCCCATCCTAGTCACAAAGATTATATCACAATCTTCATCGACTAAAAAGAGTCAAGATACCTCCGCTAAGGTTATATGGATCTGTTATTGACATTTACAAAGTGTTGAGATGTTGACGTTGCCCAGACATCCCACTAAAGCATTGAGAATACTTTATAGAATATATATACATAGAAATAACTTCACCTAATCTAAAAATTACCCACTTAATTAAGATAACAATACGTTTGAATTGTGAACCTAAGCAAGATTCATAAAAAAAACGTCAAGGTCATTCGCAAAATGTTTAGAGTGGAGATATATTCGCCCGTTCACTAGCTTAAACGCTTTAATAATAGGAACAAAAATCTAAAACTCATTCAACTAACAGGGCCCATGAACCATCAAATTCAAAATAATTTAAAAGGTAAATTAGGGTAAAATAAAAAAAAAGTCATAACACATATTACAAAACAAGGCTAAGCCATATGAGTACCAATAAATGTAAATTATAATCGACAGAAATTTTCCTCCGATGCCCTTCCCCCACCTTTTATGATCAATGAGTTGGGTTCCGTGCTTGTTCCATTTGGATTACCGGATGAACTTTATTTTGTCTTGTCTATAGATTTGATTAAGGTGAAACATTGCTTGCCTCCTTCAAACCTTTTATGATCAATGAGTTGGGTTCAGTGCTAGTTCCATTTGGATTACCGGATGGCACTTTTGGCTTTCGTCCTCTCTTCTTCGTCTAGATTTATATAGTTTAGGGTACTTTCTAATCAAACAAATATCAAATTTACATTTAAAATGGTGAGATGCGTTTGAAGATACTTTCGACGATGGTGGTCAGAACGGTACTCAATATGATTATCAGAATATGGGTTTGTTTAAGTTGATGAGAGAAATAGAAAGAAAATGGGAGGAAGAAAAAAATGGAAATGAAATTTTTTTTACCCGCCTTTTAGTAATTAAAAAAATATTTGTTTAATTCATGTCATAACAACATTAGAAACTTGACGGTGAAGTAACTAACAAAAAAATGTATAAAGCTAAGAGAATTAATTGAAAAAAATTAAAAATGTAGTGAATAAAATGGGAGATAAAATAAACTTTAAGTTACTAAATTTTTAATTTACCTGATATAACTTTTCATCTAAATGAAAAGTTGAATATTCGAGTTATTACCATCCACACAAACTAAAGTCAGAGATATTGCCTGAAGCTCTCCAAATCCGAAATTCCAAATATAGCGTGAAGGTCCCCACCAGCCACCACTAAGCAAATTCCGACTTTAATAGAACACAGATTTTGGAGATTCCCATTCGCCGCTCGTTTTCTCATTACCACAAAACTAATATATTTAATTTATACACTTAAATATTCCTTTCCCTTCCAAAATTGCTTCTCAGCTTGTTTGCCAAACATTTTATTTGAAGAAAAAAGATTTTTGCATAGGAAAGACATGCAGATCTTTGTGAAAACACTTACAGGGAAGACTATTACTCTCGAGGTTGAGAGCTCCGACACCATTGATAATGTGAAGGCTAAGATTCAGGTCTTTCTTCTTTTGTTTTTCGTCTTCTATGCTTTTGATCCGGGTTTATCTTTTTTTGAAGGAATTAGTATTGTTACTGTTGTCGTAGTTGATATCGTGTTTGGTTGATGACAAAAATAACTAACCGATAATGGAAAACAATTCTAATTTTTTGAAGGGGAACTGTAGCTAGACCTTTTCTGTTTGGTTGAGGAGAAAAGTACACAAAACGAAAAGAAAAGCTAAAAGGCAAAAGGCAAAAGAAAATCGAATGGGTTATCACAAATTATGTTTTTCTTTTCTTGGGTGTATTTGTTTGGTTTCAAGTTTGGCTAAATTGATTAGATGCTGGAATGCTGCTAAGTCTGAATTCAAATTTTCTAGGAATGGAAATACTTTGAATTCTGAACTATATTTTGTATATAAAAAAAAAAACATTACTCAAATTTTATTTAGGATGAGAGACAGTTTGATATTCAATGGCGAAAACTTGCCATGATCACCCAACCTAACATCGAAACATCATTGTAATATTTTTGCCTTCTTGATTTTGTTCATAGCTTTTCTGCTATTTAACAGTGCTGGTAAATGATACTGTGTTGTTTTAAGTTTGAAAAGTTATTACCTAATTTACATCTCAAGAAGCTTTGATTTAAAATTTTCAAGAAATACTGGAAATTTATCATTAGTTATAAATAAGGTTATATCAGGCTAAATTATCCCGGGTTTGAGCTGCAGGGTGTGTGTTGTCATTAGGTTAAGAAATATTTTGAATAGATATTCCCTTATAATCGCCCCAAACTAATCACACACATAAAAAAACATAGTAAGGGGTATGATCCTCCAAAAACTTTCGAAAATGTTTATGATACAATCTAATGATAACAAAATTGTCAACAATGTCTCCATCTTGTGTTTTATTTATTTTCTTCTTATGAGTGTTTGTGTTACTCTGCCTTTTTTCCCTTTAGTCGTTTCGTTTTTCTTCCTGTAATGAAATGTCTGTGGATGCACGCACCTATTTCCACTTTACAGGACAAGGAAGGAATACCTCCTGATCAGCAGAGATTGATCTTTGCCGGCAAACAGCTTGAAGATGGTCGAACTATTGCGGATTATAACATCCAGAAGGAATCGACCCTTCACTTGGTTTTGAGGCTTAGGGGAGGAACTATGATCAAGGTCAAGACTCTCACTGGAAAGGAAATCGAGATCGATATCGAACCAACTGATACCATTGATCGGATTAAAGAACGTGTTGAAGAAAAAGAAGGAATTCCACCTGTGCAGCAAAGGTAGCCATCTTGTTCTCTGGGGGTTTCCTTTTTACATTGTTATCTTGGTTTGAATTATGTGCATACACCCTTAAAGATGCTTGTCGAGTATAAAGCACTTGGCTTTTAGTGGTTCACGTTTGCAGTTAGCGACACTTTATGGACTCCTCTTCATAATCATGATGTCTAATTTCAGTTGAACTGTTCCATGGTTGCAGGCTCATTTATGCTGGCAAGCAGCTCGCGGACGACAAAACCGCTCGTGAATACAATATTGAGGGTGGCTCCGTGCTTCACCTCGTGCTTGCACTGAGAGGAGGAAGCCTTATCAGAAACGTCTAATGGCATAAACTCTATGGTTTGCATACTTTGCAATGTGATCTGTGGTGATCGAAAAACATCATCTGATAATTTTCTTGACATGTTATAGACGTGTTCTGTTTCTTCTAGTAATCCATGGCTCACTGAGGAAGTTTACTTATCTACTTCCTGCTTTGAAACTGGGAAACTTTTGAGACAATCAAAAGAAATAAACTTCCTTCTGCATGAATTCCCTGCCAATGGAGCCCACAGTTGCTGCTTCGTGCATCTTATGTTTAGCCTGGATTTTTAAACTTTAGAATCCCTGATTATTTCTGGTAATCCTAGACGTGTTAATGATTATATGACATAAAAATGATAAAAAAAATAACTAAAATTATGTTCACATTTTGATTGTGTATGATCTTGTGTGTATCCATGTACAATTTAGTAAAAATGTTTATAAAATAAAATAAAGAAAATCACACAACACACTATTGGCATACTTAGATGTCCATTTAAATTTGCAAAGTCAAATGGATAATATATCTATCAGTTTCATTTTAAAATTGAGAGAAATGATAAAAAAAAACTCTTATTTTAAAATTGAGAGAAATGATTAAAAGCTTGGAATATTTAGAAGTGCAAGCTTGTTTGTGTGCAATTACTACATAATTTATGCTTGCTAATAACAAAAGCATATGGAAGAAAAATAAAAAAAATAAAAAAAATATTTTTAAAGTAAACTATAAGTTATTTTACAAATAAAGTGAATGTTAAAAATAATAATTTGTAGCTAGAATGAAGCTTGAACCCACTTTTCAATATTTTCGAGGTCTCAATCTAATCACTTGAGCTAAAGTTTCATTAAATTTTAAATGACATATAATAGATTTAAAAAATTATAAAAGTATTTATCTATGATTTTTTTAAAATAAATATATTACAATAATAATTTAATAAATTTATTTTAAAAGAATCTTATATTCTCCTAATTAAATATTATATTTTTTCGTATCTATCAAATAAATCAAATATAATATAATAAATCATAAAAAATACACTGTTATTAAAATTAATATTATCTTCTGAAAAATTTATCCTTATACATTTTGTGGATGAAACTTAACCTTATAAACACTTTAACAAAATACAAGAAAACGCCGTCGTACTGGAGTTGAATTATTAATATCTCATTTTTATTGACACCGTCGTCTGATTCACCTTCAAATCCCACACAAATTAGAAATAAAAAGGAAAAGAAATAAAAGTCCCTCCCGGTCTCGGCATAGGGCATAGGGCATCGGCCATCCTTATTTAAGCCTTTTGAAATCTTTCATAAATCTTCGGCAAAATTATCTTGAAGTGATAGATTTTTCGTTAATTTTCTCCCTACAAGAGTTTCCTTTAATCACTGTAAGTTTTGTTTTTGGCTTTATTTCGTTTCGATCACTAGTAGGTGACTAGGATTTAATTTACCTTAAATTAGTGTAAACCTTGTTCTTTAATTGTATTTTCAGGTTATATTATTGTGGATTTTCGTTTACTTCAGCGATGGAGGTTGTTTAATTATTCATTAATTTTTTTAAGTATTGAATATGGATTTTGTGGTTTGGACTTTGATTTTTTTTTTTATGTTTTAAAAACAGCAATTTGATGTGAATAAAACGATGGAAACATTGGAACCTGAAGTGGGCAATGACGGAAGTGGTGGGGGATTGTTTGTTCCAAAGGATAGACCCAAGTACATAGCTCCTGCTACCAAGAAATCTGTTTTAGGTATATTTTGGCTTTGACATAAAGATGCCGCTATAATACTTTTTTTAGGTTCTGAAATTTAATGGATTGTTTGAAATTGCCTGGAGCTTGATTGTGGGGTAAATTGTGAAGTTTAACTATTAGAATTGTTGAAACTTTTAGTAGTTTGATATATTACTCATTCTTATTGTATCTTCTTTCAGAAGGGTGCTCGTATCGCTTTACAAATAAAGTGTATAGATTAACTGAGTCAGTTTGCTAGCAGTCTTGCCACTTCACTTTCAAAATCTTGTCCATCTACAAGTATTATTTTGTGGTTTGGAGGTTAAATTTATAGATAACCTGATTCTTTTGGTTATCTTCTACTCAACTTTGTTTTCTGTTTCTTTGGACATTAGTTTGTTTTTCCAGTAGGGTTTTTTGTGCCCTTATTCAGCTTTCGTCGTAATAAGTGCTTCCATGGAGTGTATAGTCTGTTCTGATGGTTTTGTTGTTGAGAGTACTTTTACTACTCTTTTTTTCTTTGTTGTCTTATCATGAATCATGATTCTAGTCAATTTTATCTCTCTAGAAAAAAAGGAAGTAATAGCATGTTTGCTTTATTGCATAAATACACATATTATTTTTAAAATTTTGATTATCAATAATGCCTAACTTGTTCTCTTCTTCCTATGTATTCCATTACAGCTTTTAATTGTATTTTCTTTTAGGCATTTCTTCCTCCAACTAGCCTTTTGTTTGTTGATTGAGTGTTTTTATTTTAATTATTAGGTTTGGATGTTCGTGCTAAAGAGAAGCAAGGACATTCTAAGGTTGATGATGGATTCAAGGTTCCTAAAGAAAAAATCACATCCATTGCGGCATCTATTGATGTGGACGAGGGGTTTGAATCTTCAGAAGAAACTAGAAGTACTATTACTCATGGTAGCCGAAGCCACACTAGCAGACACTATCGTGATAAGACAGCTAGTGTAATAACTAATACTGGTAATCTATTTATTTACTTCGTCTTAAATAACTAAGTTGTTTGCACGATGACCAGCTTTGACATTAAGAATTGAGATAGATTTCCAGCACATGCTTTCTTAACCTTGTGGTTTCGAGTTATGAAACAATCTTTGTGCTACATTTGCCTTTTGTGGGAACTTTTTGTGATTATTTGGGGGTGGGTGGTTTTTTTGAATGTGGTGGTTCTGACAGTATACAACTTTTTCCACTAGTATTCCCTTTATTTTAACAAGCTTCAAAGGTTCTTTTCTGTCTGAAATACATTTTTTACATTGTTATGCTCTTCCTGCGTTTATGTTTTTCTTTCTTTCCTTCTATTATTCAATTTTAATTTCTGTTGTTGCTATATTGCAGAAAGTGCAGTTTCTGTAGACAGAGGAGGCAATTATGATACGGTTCTATTATTCAATTTTAATTTCTGTTGTTGCTATATTGCAGAAAGTGCAGTTTCTGTAGACAGAGGAGGCAATTATGATACGGTTTGTACTCCTTGCTCAGAGAACATAGGAGTTCAGATGCATGTGAATAACTTGCTGTCAATATTATTCTTTTTTTCGTTTTGTTGTACTTTTTATTCTGCAAACTTATTAAACCTTATATACATCTGGTTATTCTTTCAATTGAAGGTTCAAGCTTCACGTAGTCGGAGTTCCCGTACTGTCTCTTCTAAGAGTCCAAGGTATGAGAGAGATGAACATGGTACGGAGAGAACATGTTTTGGCGATGATTCTAGAAGTGAGAACAGGAACACAAGAAAGAGACACTATTATGATGATAGAAGAGATACCTATGGTCGATCTGGTGAAGATTATAGAAGAAGCCGAAGTAGATATGAAAGTTGGACACCTGGTATGTGATAATACTAAACAGAAGCTAGTTTGGGTATTTTATCTCTGAAATAACTTTTGCATTTCGGCTGTAATGCAAAAAAATTAACTTGTGCATTTTTCTGGGGTTGGGTGTTATTATGGGATGATGGATTATGCATCCAAACTCTATTACTTGGAACTAAGACATATTTAGGTTTGAGAATATTCTTGGTAACTTGTCATGTCAACATGCTGCTTAGAGTTTGTACTCTAATAGATTCATGCCATCTTTTCGGCATCTTTGCTGATGTGCAAGAAGGTAACTCATATCTTTATCCTTTGTAGGCAGATCTGATTGGGATGATGGAAGATGGGAATGGCAAGATACACCACACCGGGATGGTTACTCTGGTAGTAGCAGGCGCCATCAACCTTCTCCAGCTCCAATGTTTGTTGGAACTTCACCTGATGCTAGATTAGTTTCTCCATGGATGGGAGACCACACTCCTCGTTCAACTGGTATGTTATTCAGAAAGTAAAGCTTTCCTTATTCTTGATGCCATCCACTGTTCATTTCTTCTTTTATTTCAATATTTTGAGTTGAAAGATAAAACAATTTTTATATTTGTGCTGAAATTTGGTACAGTTGGTGCCTCTCCTTGGGACTATGCATCTCCTTCTCCAGTTCCAATACGAGCCTCTGGGGCATCTGCAAAATCTTCAAATTCTAGATATGGTCGGGCATCTCACCAGCGTAGCTTTTCAAGGGAAAATTCTCAGTCATTTGAGGTAGTATAAGGAATTGTCGTATTTTCTTTTCTTTTTCTCTCCATTCCCTCATAGATATTTATTTAAGTAATATTTCTGGAAATGAATGAACAATTATTTGATAGTGGTTAGAGGCTGTAATATTTCTCTCTTTTTTTGCTCTTTTCCCCTCTTTAAAGTAATCTTTTTACATTTTTCAATGGTAATTTTTTTATCATAATTTGTTATCTACTGTTTAGAACGAAGCAGATAAAAAGGGTTTGGAAGAAGAACACAATTACGAGATTACAGAAAGTATGCGCTTGGAGATGGAGTATAATTCAGACCGTGCATGGTAAATTATGTATTTAATTCATCCTAGATTGAGTATCTTATGGCTTCGTGCTTCAGTATTAAATGAAAATGGGAATTTGATTGGTTATTCTGTACAGTGACTTTTGACTGTTCATTTGTGGGCTCTATGAATTCTGCTGAAAAGTTGTCTCAACTTTCCTTGCTGGTATATCCTTATGTAGGTATGATAGAGAAGAAGGAAATACCATGTTCGATGCTGATAGTTCGTCATTTTTTCTTGGGGATGAAGCTTCATTCCAAAAGAAAGAGGCAGAGATGGCCAAAAGACTGGTATTGCTCTAGTGCTGTATTATCAAATAATTTTTTATGTGCAAAGTATTTGTCATTTTTCATGCTGTCATTTATGGTAAAATGTTGGATGCTTGGTTGAAAATCTTAGTAACTTATGTGTACTATCGCTCATTCTTGTGCAAATCTAGATATAAACACGGTTTAGCTGCTTCGTTGAAATAAATAGACCTTAGTAACATGTATTCAAAGATATTGATTAAAAATTGTTATTATCTTAGGGTTCATAATATCTTCTGACATTGAGTTCTGAATAATATCTAAATGATAGCGTGA